TGCGAGAAATTAAGAAAATGTGTTTTTTCGAAAAAAATGTAGACGCAATACATGCTACATTTCACTTTCTCAAAAAAAAATTGACGCAATAACTTTTACATTACACCTTCTCGCAAAAACTTTTGATGCATTACCCTCATACATATCGTTTGATGAAAAAATGTTTGCGCAATGCCTAAAGTATATTCCGCTTTTCGTTATGATTTTTTTCGAGATCGTCTTCCGTTTTGCATACGATGGCTTATTATTTCGTTAAATAAGTTTTAATAAAATTGTGATATTCAAGACTACAGCAAGCAGCGTATTTGTCGAAGACATGGAGAAAGTTCTAACAGTATTGGTATGACATTATAATGTTTTATCATCATCATCATTATTAGTAGTACATGTATTGCAATTAGTTGTAATAGGAGTTGTAGAAGTGGCGGTGCTGGCGGCGGTGGTTGTAGCAGCCCAGCAAGTATCAGTCTAAGCAGGTACATGTCGTAGTACACGCTTTGTTAGATCTTCACTCATTTGGCTTTTCATGATAGCTTATTTCATAGTCAGTGATTTACGGTTGCCATTCCCTACATCATTTTGCATTTTAATCCACGGAAACAAATTCTTAAACAGGAGCTGTCACTGAAGTGACTTATGCCCCCGATAGGAAGCTATGGCATAAAATCCTCAATATATGCCAAAATACTGGTTATATACGCCCGACCTCTTTTGATAAATATCATTCCTATAATAGTCTAAACAATTTACACTTAAAATCATCATTAAGGGCCCATAACTGTGCGAAAAAAATTATGTACAAAATCATGGCACCATGCACAACTAGACTTGGCATGCAAACAATTTTATAAATGCTCACTGAAATTTTCCAAGTGGCAAAGTTAGTTTACTGAAATCAGGAACTATTCACAACTACCCTTGGTGGCAAACAATTCTGTGAATAATCCCCCCCCCCCCCCCCCCCCCTCTGTTTTGGTGATGAAGCGCGGACAAGCTTATTTTACTCAAAAAATGAACATTAAGGGGCTATAACTGTCCCGCAATAGAATCAAGCAGAAAATCATGATACTATGCACAACTAGGCATAGTGACAAACAATCCTGTGACGTTTCACTAAAATCACCCATCAGTTTATATGATGAAGCGCAGACAAGCTTATTTCACTCGGCAAATGACCGTTAAGGGGCTATCACTGTCCCAAAATAAGAATCAAGCTAAAAATCTAGATTATATGCACAATTAGGCATAGTGACAAACATTCCTGTGAAGTGTCACTGGAATCACCCATCAGTTTTTTTGATGAAGCACAGACAAGCTTATTTTACTCGAAAAATGACCAGTAAGGGGCCATATCTGTGCAAAAAAAAGATTCAAGAGGAAAATCAATAACGTATGCACAACTAGACTTGGTGACAAACAATCCTGTGAAGTTTCACTGAAATCGCTCCATAAAGCGCAGACATGATAATCGGACAACATTTAGAAGAGCGGGCAGAGGGACAGTGCGATTACTATATGCCGACCTTAAATAAAAATAAAAATGCTAAAACGAAATAATAACTATATTACTTCAATTTATTTGTTCATCCAGACTTAACAGTATTCTTAAATTACCTTAAAATTTATGTGGCCCCCCTCCCTAAAAATGGTTTAAAATGATTGTAAGCATGCAATAACAGGATAAACACTTACCCAACACAGCATTTTTAGGAATCTTAATTAACCTTAAGTTAGTATTTACTTCAGAAAAAAGAATGCATAATTATCAATATATATGATATTATTAAAAGTAAAATCAAAGTACTTAATATACTAGTTGTATTGCGACTGGCAACAGTAACCAATGAAGTACTAACAAAGCATATCTCTGTTTCATTATAAAGAATTTAATTGCCAGTGCAATGTCATATTAAAGAAATTCCATATGGATAAACAGATACAGTAAAGCCTACTGAAAGATAATGCTTGTTATAATGTGAACTTACATTTTGCAATGAGATCTTCAAAACTAGTCACAATCACCCCTTTTCTTACATTTCTTGTTACATTAAATAGTTTCAACGGAAGTTTCTGTTTTTCGTTTTCCATGCCGGCACACTCAAACTGAAATAAAAAATGGAGTAATGGAATGTAAGGGAAGTAACTGTACATATTACAAACTTGATTCTCATCATTCCTTATACTGTATAGCCGATTTGGTTCATTCAAAAATTTATTTATTTATTTAGATCTATTTATTATTTTTATTTATGAATTTATACGTTAAAGGGCCGAAGGAGAAAAGATTGATAAATTTGGACCTTTCAAACAGAACATTACTTCCAGGTAATCCAAATGAAAAGCAATTTATACGCATCAAGGGAAATTCAGAGTTCCTTGGATCGTGGACCCTTCGGGATTTCTAAAGCCTTGCAACAGAATGTCTACAGTTTTACAGTCTTCGACTTAACCCCCTCGACCGACGACCGAGTCGAGTGAATTTGCCGACGGTCGAGTGAAAAATCCAAGCTGATAGCCCGTCTGGTCGAGCGGTATTTTTCGTATCCGATTTAAGTTACATATCCGAAATATGTGCACTGAAACGCTTATGAAACATTGTCGATTGTTAGACGCTTGTTAAGCGTCTTTATGAAAGAATTGCTAAACGCTTGTTAAGCGTCGGTGGACTTAGACTATATCCGGTCAAAATGTTTCTTCGATATTTTCAAGGCGCTACGCCAAAAAGAAAGCTACCTAAACAAACAAGTGACGAAAATAGTAAGAAAAATTATGAAAAAGATCGAAAACGTAAGTTTCAATCATCATGGGTTGTAAATAGGCCATGGTTAATGTATAATGAGGATGAGGGAATTTTAACATGTTCTGTGTGTAAAAAATTTTCGAAGTCAGAAGATAATGCTTTCGTGAAGGGAACTAAATACCTAAGGATTGACGGCATTAAAGCACATGAAAGTAGTGAATTTCATGTAAAGTCTATAGATCGTGAAACTGCAGAGAAAACCCCTATTGTGCAAAGTAAGGCTATTAAAACCCTAACTGCCTTAAAAAAAGATGATCATGACAAACTTATAATCAAAATGAGAAATGCCCATGCATGTGCCAAACATAGCCTAAGTTTTAGATGCTATCAAGTACTCTGTCGTTTGGATAAAATGAAAAATTTGCCAATTGGTTCAAAATACTGTAATGATAAAGCTGGGGCTATGTTTTGTGAGTCCATTTCTAAGACAACAAGAGCTGAAGTTGTCAACAAAATCAACAATTGTTCTTGGTGTAGCATTTCATGTGATGGGTCTACTGACTTCACGGGTGACGACCTAGAAGCAGTGTATGTTCGAACATGCTCAAAGGGAAAAATAGAAGACTCATTTTTGCATCTTGGGTCCTCTGAATCCGCATGTAGCGAGGATATTTATCAGTTCCTGATGCAGACCCTTCAGAATTTGAAGATTGAAAGTATTGTTAACACTAAACTTGTTGGTTTCTGTGCTGATGGAGCTTCAAATATGCAAGGTAAATTCAATATTTACGATTTTATAAGTTTTATTTTATAAAAGTAATCAATAATTGATTTAGTTTAGTGTTAACAACGCTTTCAATCTTCAAGTTCTGAAGTGTCTGCATCAGAAACTGATAAATATCCTGGCTACATGCGGATTCAGAGGATCCCAAATGCAAAAATTAGTTCAATTTTCCCCTTTGAGCATGTTCACACATACAGATTAATCATATTTAGTTATCAATTAAAATGTTCATTCACATACACCTGATTTTTAGGTTAATTTCAAAATAAATTTTGTGAAAAGTAAAGCAACATTTGCATATTTTTGTTGTTGTTTTTTTCTCAATACTATATTTGTTTGATATTTTCCAGGATTGAAGAAAGGCGTAGCAGCTCTATTGAAACAAAAGTGGCCGTATATTCTAGTAACTCACTGCCTTGTGCATAGGCTGGAGCTGGCCTTTAAAGACACCGTAAAGAAGTCTTCACCCAAACTTCATGACAAGGCAACGACTCTACTTCTTGGTTTATATTACCTTTTCAGAAAGAGCCCAAAAGAAAAAAAGGTTATTTCATTATTACTTTTATCATTATTATTTAGTGTAGTTAATAAATTAAGGTTAAATGCATAGTTTAATTCTGATGTCTCAACACTTAAAGGCAACCCTGAAATTCTGTCTTGAAAATCCACATAGTGTCAGTTTGACTTCCAACTAAAATAAAACTATTGACTTATTCAATTGTTCTTGCTTTAACACTCATTGATTTTGATTTGTGTTGATTTTTTAGGGTTGCAACGAACTTTTGAAGTACTTGGTGAAAGACAGCTATTACCTACTAGAATTGGTGGCACAAGATGGTTGCCCCACTTTATGAGGGCAATTAACATATTTCTTAAAACTTACAAGGTGTTACGTTATCATCTAGAAACATCATCTCACAAAAATGCAAAGGCTGAGGGATTGGCTAAAATTTTAGGGGATGGCCATGTGATAGTCTACCTCATTGCTATGAAGGTAAGTCATTTTAGTTAATTTACGGTATGATATATCCTTTGCATTAGTGGCACGGCACTGCTCCCCAGTATCATATAAATCTTGAACAACTGTGTAATAAACAAATGCTTGTTAAATGTTAATCAAAATCATATTTAATCATAGTTCAGATAAATTCAGACCAGATTAGTTGTATTTTTATGAAATGTAAAGAAATACTTATTACTATATAAATATTTTCAGAGAGTCATCAACAATTTGCAGAACCTGTCTCTGTACCTGCAGCAAGACCAGATAAGCCTCGCTGATGCTTACCAGGGCCTTTTTACCTTCTATAACAGGGGCCGGTATAGGGCTGCTTCCCCAAAGAAAATTTCTTTAAAATCATGCAGTTTTCCCCAAAAATTGAATTTACATCAAGTTTTTTCTTCCCCTTTTGCAAATATACCTTGTATTTTTTCCCCAAAATTAAGGGCTGGGCTGCTTCCCCAAACTGTGAAAAAAAGCCCTGCTTACACACGAGTAGAGTCAGCAAAAATAACTCTTGCACAGCTTATAGACAAGTAAGGATACTATTTATATAATTACTACAATGAGAGTTACTGTTCTATTCAAGTGCAATAAGTGTTATGTAAATTGCTTGTGCAAAAGAGTATTAATGTGTAAAACATTTCAGAGAAGACACCAGTGTTTCTGCTGTGTTGGAAACTGAAACCTTCAGTGGTGAGAAATTGATCTTCAAGGGTCAAAAGTGCTCCAGTAATTTACTGAATGGTACAGTCAGAGAACTACTGGCATCTCTAGAAAGCAGATTTCCCCCATCAGAGTTGATTTCAGCCACCCTGATTGCATCATTCAAAAACTGGCCTCATTTGAATGATGATCAATTAAAAGGTTTAAATTGCAGTTTAAGCGTTGACAGTTTTATGTTCCCAGTTTACACAGTTTGAGTTTGTTGTTGTGCAGATCAGCACTCTTTTCTTTCGAAGAGATTCTTCTAATTTGGTAAATTGGTTGCAAATGAAATATATGATGTTTAAATGTGTGTTTTAATGTAACAACATTGGTCTAATAGTAATTTTGAATTGTATGCAATAGGATTTTGTGTTTGTCAGCTGGTAGAATAAGTAAGTTCTGAATAAATGTTTGCTGTATTCTAAATGTTAAAATAATCATTAATTGAATTATATTTTATGCAGATTCTGTGTATGGAGAGAAAGAGGTGGCGGTTCTCTACAATCACTTCGGCCCAGTTGTATTTCCTGATGTCACAGACACTATTGCTTTGGATGATGTAACAGATGAATGGACAACATTAAGAACACTTGTTTATAAGAAGTAAGTGAAAGTTTCATAAATCATTTTACAGCCTTATTGACTAATACAAGATTTTTTTTAAATGTTTTAAATATGTATGTTGCTAATAATACTAATAAGCACATACAATATACAAATAAAGAAATGTGCTTTTATTTACAGGTATCCACACCTGAAGGAGTGTTAAAGTGGGAACATATAATCTGTGACTTATCAGACCAAAATCTTCAAAACATCTTTAAATTGATGGAAGTTGTACTGGCTCTTCCACCTACATCAGTCAAGTGTGAAACAGCATTCTCCGCCATGAAACTTCTTAAAACAAAACGAAGAGGTCGACTTGGTAACAGACGGCTTAATGACCTCATGGCTATCAAGATTATGTCACCAAGCATAGAAGAGTTTGATCCTGAACCAGCTATTGCTGACTGGCTGGTATACACATTACTTTAATTTGGTCATATATTTGTAACAGTTACATGGTACAGAATAACATTTTATTTTAACAATTGATTAATAAATTCAATTCAATAATTTAATTTTATCAATTAGTATTTATTCCAATTGTTAAAACAATACATTTTTAATTCAAATTATTATTAGATGTCTACACCATCTGGACAAAAGAGACGAATTGGGGAGAGAACTGTTAAGACCAGCACATCAAGTACAGTCACTATATCATCTGATTCTGAGGATGAAGTAATGGAAGAAGCATCAGTTAGTGGAATACAGGTAACATCATTAAACATTTATATCCTGACTTGCTTCACCAATTTTACTTTTACTTGGTTTTAAACATAGCTTACTCTTTTGTTCTATAAATAATGTGTTTATTTATTTTCAGACAACTTTGAACATACCTGCTAGGTTGTCTAAGAAGGATCTTGAGTGTTGTGACGATAGTGACTCAGATAGCGACGATGAGGACACAGACATGACAGAAGATCTTGTTTTTTCCATGTTAAACACATACTTACGTGAATAAATGAGACAAAGAGTTACATTTTTGATTTTCTGTTGTTTAATGGTCCATAAAACATGCAAATTGCTATTTCTATGCAAAAAGTACTATATTGTTTCGGGCTAGTTAAATTTGGTTTGGGCTAGTTAAAATTGTAAGCTGCTAGCCCGATTGGGCTAGTGCTGAAAAAAAATTAAGGCGAAGACTGGTTTTATCAGCAAATGATAGTACCAAATGCATTGATATGTGAAAAAAATTGACCGACTGACATGATGCATATTTCTATCAAAATGATTCCCTATTCAGAAAATAAGCCTAATTATGAAAGCATATCATGCATTTACCAGTTTAGCAAAAACAGGAGAACTTACCATTTTTTCTTCTCGAATGGCCTCATGTCCAAAAATGACGATCTCGACAAAAATATAACGAAAAGCGGAATACACTTTAGGCATTGCGCAAACATTTTTTCATCAAACGATATGTATGAGGGTAATGCATCAAAAGTTTTTGCGAGAAGGTGTAATGTATAAGTTATTGCGTCAATTTTTTTTTGAGAAAGTGAAATGTAGCATGTATTGCGTCTACATTTTTTTCGAAAAAAAAACACATTTTCTTAATTTCTCGCAAACATTTTACTCGTAATGTGCAATGTTTCTGTTTTTGCAAGAAAACATTTGGCCAATTAACTCAAATCTTCTGGTTTATTCGAATTATTTTTTGCGAAAACACTAAAGATATCATGCCTTTGCACCTTCATTCTTTCGACTTGCGTAAATCTTCTCATAAAAGATCGCGTAAGAGGTGACCCTTTGAAGCTTCCGTAATCATGATTGTAAAACACATTTAAATTGTTGAATTACGTGAGCTATTTGTCAATGCGAGTAACGTCTTTGCGTCTTTTCAGCAAAGTCGTAAAAACACGTTTCGACAGGATTTTGTCGAAGAGACAAAAGCTTCAAGCATAACGAGAAAAATTCAGTTGCAATGCCTAAAAGCTTCTCATCTTTGTCAGTAAATTTTATTGAGAAATACGAAAACGTCTTATCAATGCGAATACAAATAAGTCGGCTTAGAGCAAAACATCTCATCAACTGTAGGCCCTGATAAGCTTCCGTAAGTATGCAATCGTACCACTATTACATACGAATGTATGTTATATTTTTCTTGTTTAGTTAATAAGTCGAAATTTCGAATTAATAAGTCGAAATTTTTAGTTAATAAGTCGAATTTTGGAGTTGGTTAGTCGAAATTTCGAGTTACGCAAGTCGAAATTTCTAGTTTTATAACTCGAAATTTCAAGTTAGTAAGTCGAAAATTCGATTTAAGTAACTCAGAACTTTTTAAGTTATTAATTTGAAATTTCGAGTAAATAAAAAATACACACCTGACACTAATGCTCTTCCTTAGATTATTATTGTAGTTTTATATTTATCTCAGTTTCGGTCCTGCATTACGGAAGCGTATCAGGGCCTACAGTCGGTGAGATGTTTTGCGCCAAGTCAACTTATTTTTATTCGCATTGATAAGATGTTTTTGCATTTCTCAATAAAATTTACTAACAAATATGAGAAGCTTTTAGGCATTGCAACTGAATTTTTCTCGATTTGCTTGAAGTTTTTGTCTCTTCAACAAAAATCCTGTCAACACTTCTTGATTTCACGACTTTGCTGAAATATTTAGTAAGACGCAAAGACGTTACTCGTATTGACAAATAGCTCACGTAATTTAACAAAGTTTTTTTGCAATGATTAAAAACTTCTACGTATTACGTATAAATCTTAACGTCTTCGCGGAATGTTTTATGTATTACGTATTAATCATAACATCTTCATGGAATGTATTTGGTCAAAACGAGAAGAAACAAGTTGACATGACGTGAAACTTTTAGATAAGTGGAGGCCCTGATACGCTTCCGTACTGCATGAAGTACTTCAGCTTGTTTATATGCATTTCCGCTCTTCACGGTATCTATAGACGGCACAAAATTATGTTCATATGAATGTTTAAAAGATTCCACTTTTAGAGTTTACACGAGAAAAGCTATATCATCTTAATTTACATAAGTTCTTAAGGGTTAACAATATATCAATAAATATCAATAAAAGGGAAAACTTTGATTTACTGCAAATGTTTACTATACGACTTTACAACTTTGCATTGCGATATGTTTTTAATACTTATTCTCTTGTTAATAAATGTTTATGTGATTTTCTAAGTCTGTTTTTGTAATCGCACATGAAGATAAAGTCATAGAATAAATATTTAAACGCACAGTTATCTTATTTGCATCCCCGCATATACAAATAAATATGCTGAATGATTTGATGTTCCTTCTCTTCTGTACAATACTCTGCTGTCAAAATATGTATACCCCATAAAATGTAACCACTCTGCGAGAATGCAAACATCGCTTCGCATTATTTATCCTTGCACTTTCATATCTCGTGTTGCACCGTCATTCACTGCATGGGGCATGCCCACTATATGTCATTTTTTATAATAACTCAGGATGGATCCCTTTATTCATAAGACTGAATATTCGTTTTTAAACGTTAAGTACATTGTAACTAGAAATGTCGAGTTAGTAACTTGAAATTTCGAGTTTATAAACAACACACACCTGGCACTTATGCTCTTCTGTAATAATCGTAGTTAAAATTAATTTATATGATAAAAATAAACCATTTTATATCACTTGTTGAAGAGTAGATGGATTTCGTAAGCATGAAGTCCATTTGGAAGAACCAAGAATTAATGAATGTTTTAAATGATCAAAAAAGTGTTACTCTGTCCTAGTTACCATAGCGCAAAAGCCCTGAAAATTGTTTCCTTGAACGCCTTTCAGCGTTATTTATTCTTGCTGATGAGTGGATGCCGATGTTATCATTATAAAGAGGCGAACGGTTGATGACTTACTCAAATTTTGAAAACATTCAAACTTTAAAACCCTATATCTTTAAAAGAAAAGCATATGGTTTGAAATATTTAATGACGAAATGTTGACGTTTACGAATCGTATATTAAAATGATTTATTATCATGTGAAAATGTAAGTTTTTGTGACTTTTTAACAAAATGCCGCATCTCAACGGGAAGAGTGGTTATAAACAAAGCTTGAACAGGGCCAGAAATTTGTTAGCATGCTCCTTTTAATGTTGACTATAAATCCATAACATTGATTTACTCGAACACAGTTGGGATATGTTAAAAATAGATAAATACTTACCGTATGTCACACTGACATGTACATACTAGTACGGTTGTCGACGGTTGGACGGTTGTCTGCTTATGTGATTATACGGTGTGGTCAATGAAACAACCGTAAACTTATTTAAGATATGTGATAAATAGATATCATATTTGTGTAGGTTCCCTACTTAATTTATTGAGCTCGTTGAATAAAACAATATTATGCTCACTTGTTCAATAAATTTAGTATTACACTCATTTAATATCCTCTCTATATATTTTAATAAAATTAAATAATATGATATATTTGGATTGGTTTATCAAGAAAACACCTAATATAAGTTTATCAGTATTTGCTTGTTTTGGTTTGATGACATACATAAATTAAATATAACCAGTCAAGGTAATAACATTTCCCGACTTAATTAGATACTTGGGGCCGTGAGGGATGTTGCACTTATTCATTATCCCTCATGTACAGACTCAATCAAACCGAGTCTGCAATTTTCATGTTATTTTGTTGTGGTTAATACCTCTGAGGGATCACTTTGTTTCCAGATTATATACTTCACAACAGCAGGAGTCAAGTGCTGTGTAGCAGCTGTAAAAAGATGCACCGAAATTGGCCGGTCATTGATTTTCACTATGTACATATAGTAAAAAATTTAAAAATCGTATTGTATTAGAGCTTTGATATTTGGTATATGTTATCATCTATAGGTAGTCTACCAAAGTTGTTCAAATTTTGCCTCTAGTGTCAAAATTAGTCCCACCCCTGGGGTCATAGGTTTTCCTTACACGTATATAGTAAAAACTTTTAAAAAAAATCATCTTCTCCTAATTGACAAAGGCTAGAGATTACATATTTTGCAAGATTATTCATTTATAGCCATTGGGTCAATTGGCCCTGCCCCGGAGGTCATTGAGATTTACTAATTATCATTTGTTTTGATCAATATTTGGTGAATTAGGAAGCTCCAATAGAGCGTTTGTACACCACATGTGTATAGTATTGTTTGGTTTTATTAACCTGTCAATTACATACTGATAACACGGTCGATGCACACAGTATATTAATCTTCGGTAGATTTTCGGTAAGTTCCGCGAGATGTACGCTGTACGATGGAATTTAATTTGATTTGTATCTTTAAACTAAGTGTACTCAGCATTATAGCGCAATATGGTTAATCACGAGTTTATAATGTAAATGCCACACGTGTTTTAAGTTCGAGGCCGCGTTGGTCCATGTTTTTTTCTTATTAATACTTTCAACATTATTGAACCTATATATGATTATTTTATGTTGTTCCGTTTTTTATTATTTTTTACTTAATTTTGTTATGTATATACTCTTTTTAAATAACATGTTTTTTAAGAATTCATGTTTAAAATGAAAACGGATTAAAATCAATAAATGTCTTTTCAATGCCGTAAAACACACTACAAATCTGTTCCATTAAAATATACTGCAAAAATAAAGAAAGAGTACTAAAACAATGGCAACAGTCAGGATCGAACCACAGACCTCTCAATTATCAGGTATTCTCTTTACCGACTGTCCTATTGTTAAATTAACGAAAACCTTCACATTCAGCTGGCGTGACTTTCAATCCATGACTAATATACTCCGTATTAATTCTCGTAAACTACACGGACCAAACCGAAGTGGGATCGAATATTTAAATGAGTCCTATGATGTATTCATAATTGACAGGCTAATAAAATCAGACTTATAATAAGTTAGCTAGTGATGAAATATTTATTACACATTTTTGTATCACATTTCTCATTGCTTGGATGTCAAAATGAAAAGTTCAATTGTACAGAGACAAAAACAAAAAATTATGCTTCTTCACTATTATTTAGTGTTGCATTTATGCGGTGGCATAGCATTTTTCACAAATGCAATCTTGTTTTAACATTAAAAGTGTTAACGAACTGTCACATTCGGAATAGTTTCTTTTACTGTCATCTCGAAATTCCTCAGAATTAAGATCACGTACTTTTCATAAAAGATC